AGGAAAGAAGAAAGAAAAGAAAGAAAGAAAGAAAGAAAGAAAGAAAGAAAGAAAGAAAGAAAGAAAGAAAGAAAGAAAGAAAGAAAGAAATTAAATGAACTAAGTTATAGAAAACATAGTCCAAAGCCAGGAATCTTTTCATTGTGTCAAGACATATATTACAAAATGGATCATTTAACTACTTTTAAGCAAGGCTTAGAAACAAATTACATTGTCATTTTGTGCAACCCTTCAGAAATCTTCCCCTTTCTTAAATTTTCACTAATGTGAAAAACCCTAAATTCTACATCTGCCAAAATACCCATACTTCTATAATTAAATGTAATATAAAATTGAAGGCATCAAACTTCTGAAGGAATATATCCAATGAGGAAGCGATTTTCATGTGTTCAGTTTTACTACTTTTTACTATCTACATTTCTAATGGACAATTAAATTCCTGGAATTAGACTGTCCCACAATGAAGCCTCTTCAGAAAGTGACTGAAGTCTCTATTCCTCAGGCTGTAGATGAATGGATTCAGCATAGGTGTGACCACAGTGTACATCAGTGAGGCTGCCATGCACTTCCTGGGGGAATATGACACTGCTGAACTGAGGTACACGGCCAGGCCTGTTCCATAAAATAGGCAAACAACTGAGAGGTGAGAACTACAGGTAGAAAATGCTTTGTACCTCCCACCAGAAGATGGGATTCTCAGAATGCTGGACACAATTTTAAAGTATGACAAAAGGATTCCTGCCATAGGAATAAAGCCAAATACAACACCAGCAAAATATGTGACAATATTTTTGATTAATGTATCCGAACACGAAAGGGTAAGAAGTTGGGAAGGGTGACAGAAGAAATTAGCAATTTTGACATCCTTGAAGCAAGTAAGTTGTAAGGCAAGGAAATTGTGCACTTGGGAAGCCAAAAGGCTAAAACAGATAGACATCAATATTAGTAAGGTGCAGAGACGGGGGTTCATAATCACTGCATAGTGCAGGGGGTGGCAGATGGCCACAAATCGATCATAGGCCATCACAGTCAGAAGCATGTCATCCATGCACATGAAGATGATGAAGAGATTCATCTGCATCAGGCAGCCCAAGTAGGAGATGACTGTGCTGTGAGTTTGGATTTCCGCAATCATCTTTGGGACTGTCGTGGAGATGAAACAGATGTCAGCCAAGGACAGGTTAGAGAGGAAGAAGTACATGGGGGTGTGGAAGTGGGAGTCATAAATAACAGCCAGGATGATGAGCAGGTTCCCACACACGGTTACCAGGTACATGGTCAGGAACAGTCCAAAGAGGATGGACTGCAGCGCTGGATCTTCTGAGAAGCCCATAAGTTGGAATTCAGAGACACTTGTTAGATTGTATGTTTCCATTTCCATGTTGTCACAGCACCCTTATAAAAAATAAACTCTATTGGAGAAATTAAACAGGCACTAAAGACTTCATATTTTGAGTTGAATTCTGTACATGTGAAGGCTAAAACTTTCAGTAATACTTCTCAATTCTGATTAAATCCTATACCTCAAGGACTGTTTAATTATTTTGTTTCTTGATATCCACCTCCAACTTTACACTGTACTGAACAGTTAGGAGACCAAGAACTTAAGAGTTGAGATGCCCATAAACCCAGTAATATTCAGCTAAGTCTTTTAAGGAAAGAGTAGAAAGTTATACCATCCCTCTTATAAAGTATAATATTATTTTTTTAAATGTTGTATGACAAATAGTCAAATATGACTTATTTATTTCTTATAATGTGGTACAAATTCCCCTGATTTAGGTTATCTACAAATACTATAATCTCTAGGACTACAGTAATTTGTAGTTCATTTTTCATAATTTGAATACATTTTGTTGAGACTATTGTCTCACATAAATTTTTCACCTTCTTTAATTTTTTATTTTCCCTTATTCAAGATTATAAGATATCAGCAAGCCTTTTATAAATTACTAAATATATAACTCTACCATTTTTTGAATCAATTCAAACACCAGATTCCAATATGTCCACATAACTTGGAGACATATAACCAAGAAAGTGACATTCATACACTATTGTGTATGTCAATAATTAAAGTAATTAGTGATAAGCATATTTGAAATAGAAAATTTTGTATGGCTTTGTTTTAATCTGATATATTATCAATAAACTATTTACTATGTAAGACAAAAATTTTCTTCTTGATTCTATATTCAAAAGAGTAGGATAATTTTCTTCTTCTTCTTCTTCCTCTTTTTTTTTTTTTTTGGTCACATTCTTATGTCCAGTTGAAGACATTAAAAACAAAGAAACTCCCAAACTCATTCTGAAATCTCAACCCTATTAACACTTAGTGACCGATTTACACATCATTTTTTCTCATACATGAATTGCATTTCTCATATGTCATCTATATGGAGGAAATTTGATCATATAATTTTGTTAATTCGCACTATATTTCAATTAGAAACAATGTATCTGAAAGAATGTACACACACCTAAAAACTCACTTGGAACATGAAATTGTGTGAGACTTTACCTGCAATCATATCTCATGTAATTTCAACATCTGTAAAGTAGGGATAAAATTATCTACTTTATAATGTTACTGAGAGAAAGAGTTTTGAAAATCATTTATTTAGAATCATGTTTGGGCCTAACACAGTAACATAAATATTAGAGAATAATTTAAAATATCCAGATGACCTATACATTAATTTAATCATAATTGGATTTAATAAATTTAATCAGAATATCAGTATTTCAGGGGTACCTTTTCACTGTGTCCAACAGAGTTAGGAAACAGTCCTAATATATATTTTTTTGAATTATAGCCAGCTTCATAGGAGTATCATGCTAAATATTAACATGTAAATAATATTTCTATCACAACTAATATTTTTATAGATCTGAACAATTACATGTGAATTCTGAGTACTTGGTATCACTCCATAATTTCATTATCCTGTTTATCTTTGATTACCTATTTACATGTGGTTACAAATTCTGTGGTTTGTTCGACACCAAGGTTTGTCGAACAGCACTGGTTTGTGATCTCCCAAACTCTTTCCGTAAAAGCTTGTCTAAAAATTACATAAATCTCATAGAAGTAGTGTACAGCACAACATCTACACACCAGCACCTCTGTAATGGATTAGGTTATATTCACAGGTGTTATTAAGTCTTTCTCTAGAGAACATAGATCTACAAGAAATGCTGAAATGATATGGAGCATTACGCAAGAAACACAGCCTTCATTTAACTTGTATCTTTATTATTGTGACGTTATTTTCAAAATTTTAGTTCCTGCCTCCCCGTTATATAAGTAAAACATTGTGCATAATATATTAATGACAGATACTTTTCTTATTTCCAACAAATAATTTACATAAAATTTAACTAATTCACATTTTTTCCAAAAAGTCATTCACTTACAGCCTATTCTTGAGATATACCTACAAACATCCCTGAAGTCTGGCCAATAATGATATCTTTATGAAACAAACCAATGACTTACATAACATACAATGTTCTGAGATAAGATTAAGGAAATAAAATTTTCAGCTGTGTGCGACCAATCTACTACAACAGACAGAACGGCTAAGAATCACTCCTCTTTGTGCTCATACTGCTTGAAAAAAGAATAACATTTGTCTATACATGCGGAGCATCCAAAGGAAGTCTGGAACTCAAGAATGTACTCACTGTAGATGTTATTTTAAAAATATAAATACAACATTCTGCAAGTAGGAAGTTTATCAACAAATACAGTAATCTCTATTCAAATGGCTCTAGAGTTGCAATGATGTGAAGTTCTACAAAGAATTTTAGCCTGAGTCATGTATATACTTGCTGCCTTTTTTCTCACTTTTTAAACCCATGAATATTTCTGCTGTGCTTGTGTCTGATAAAGATGCAATTAAATAGATTTACTGCCCACGTGTTCTTGATACAAGCACAAACAAGGGCTATATATCTTGCCTCTATACCCATGGGACATTTCTGAAAGAAATAAACATGCAGACAAAAATGTACACAACATCTCTACATTGTGCTGATTAATTATGAGTATTGTGACTCAGTGAAGGGTCCTTTCAGTGATTAAGAGAGCATTTTACTGTGGATGTCTTCTCTTTGCCTAAAAAGCTACAGGCTTTTGGGAATCACATATAAAGAACAGCAAACCATTCCTCTGCATTGGTTCTTGTGCAATTACCCAAAAACAAAATAAAATGTCTTGCTACATAAAGAGTAAAGAGAAACTTCAGGTAACGGAAAATAAATGGCATGTAGTTCATTCATATCATTGCTAATTCTGATTTTAAAAAAACTTTTATTTTCATTTATCTTTGTACACTTGAATCCCATACAATGAACTCCTTAATCAGTATAGTATTCAGTACATTTGTTGTGACTACAAACCAACCTTAATGACAATGCTGCATTTCTTAGATGGCAAATTCTTGCCATGGATCACAAAAATATTAAATGGACTGGAAAAGATTAACAGTTAAATTGACAGATGCTGTCCAATGCACTAAATATTTTCAGTTTCCCAACCCACAGGGGAATCAGTGTAATGTAAGGCTCACAACTGTCGCCACAGGTACGTTTTTAAATATCTGGGGTACATTTTTAATTCCTTCATCTCCTATGTGGAAATGAAATCAAGAGAAGATATGTGTACATTTGAGACTTTCTGATCTAATTTCAAGCATTGATCAGGATGTGGAAAGTTGCAAGAATATCCAATAGTAGTGAGAGGGAGGAAATCTGTGCTGAATTAACAAATATATACACTTTCTGTGAAATTTTCTTGTGACTACTGCATGTCCTCTCTATAGTGGGTGCAGTGAGTGCTTCCAAATACTCTACTCTCTGACCTATCAGGAACACTAACTACCCACACACACACATCAAGAATAATAATAATAATAATAATAATAATAATAATAATAAAGATACCCCACAGAGAACAATGGTCTCTTTTTCAAAGGACAGGGAAGGAAAATGGATGTTTGAGTTGCCAAGTAGACAGACTGCCAGGATTCCCCTCAATTTGTATAACTGTCTGTGTCTAAAATCATATAACTTGGTGCAAATAAAGCAGCTATGTAGCATAATTTACTTAGCATCTGGTATTTAGAAAACTCTAAGAAACAATTTAGGGTGACTTTACTATGCTTATCCTTGCTTTGACCATTGTAGTATTTTTACAGTACACAGAAATCACTTCAGTAGAATACCTTTTCTGATACATGGGGTGAGGTATGAATTCAAGGTAGAGCTAGAGTGGGAAGGAAGAAAATTTGAGTAAGATATATGCCATCTGCCTTGCAACCAGGAGTAGAAACTTCACTTTCCTCAGAATGGTAATTTTTTAATATTACTCTCCTCCCATATAGCTACCTAAAACTGCTTTACTTCTATTCATGATAAGGAAAAAATTCTTACAAGATTTTCCTCTACATCCATAGGTTACCTCTGTACTTAGTGACTGTGCTCCTTCTCTGCTGAGTCATGAGCAAGGACTACACATCTGAAGAATCTTCCAGGTATGGTTTCTAATGAAGGCTCCAGTTCTGTCTCTAACATTGATATGAACATGGTGTGAAATGAGATCTTCCCTGTGGACATAAACAAGAAGTGGGAGACGTAGGCTTGGAAACAACTGGACTGAAACAAGTAAAATACTGAAGGCCAAGCAGATTCCTGACTATCATATGACCTTAGAGACTCAATGCCCAGAGTTCACAATTATTCAATTGATCAATGTCAGCTCAATCCCTAAGGACTTCCTAACAATAATTACAATAAATAACACCACCACAGCAAATTCTAGTTGTTGAAGGTGCAGCATTAGGGTGTTTATTTGTTCCCGTTCTGTTTTCCTAATGTGTGAGTTCACAGCT